AATTGTTTATATTAATAAAATGGTAATAGAAAAAACTACTGAGGAACTACCTAGGAACGTTGAATATATGTTTATTTCCTAGGAAAAGCGTAGGAACTTCCGAGGGACTTCCGAGGACGACGAATTCATTGGTATTTCCTACTTATTACCGAGGAACTTCTAAGGAAATGTCAGAAAGACGTTTTTCTCGAAAATTCCTCGATAACGCGTAGGAAGTAGCGAGAAAATTCTGGTCCTAGGAAATTTTTGTAGGAAACTCCACATTTTTCTAGTAGTGAATGGTTCTTAACTTTTATCAATATAATCGTTAGAATTCAATTTATAAATTATATTGACGCCACGATAACGCGGTGGACAAAATACTAGTTCATTATCATTATCATTTATCAAACTAGACAACCACTTTGAAAAAGAAAACTATTAATAAAAAGACTTCCACAATAAAATATAAGCTTATTAGAAGTTTTAAACTGCTATAAAAAAAAATTGATGAAAAATAATTTATTCCGATAGAAAACTTCTAATAATTTATTTTTTTTATAAGTTACCTCATATTTATTTATTAGTTTATAAAAGCTTATTACCTAATAAAAAACAAATTTTTTTTTTCTAAACACTCATTAGTCCAAATTAAATTGTAAATACACAGATTTTCTTATTCCCTTATCTGCTAGATTCTATTTTAAAAAAATGGAAATGTAGCCGAACTTATCGTAATCTAAAGGATGATAACGACAAAATCCAGCTCCCAACACTCATTTACACTGTTTGCTGCATACATATTCTGTCGTCTTGTTCAAGTTCGCCGTACAGACGTACAGCCACGTGATCACCCTCTTCTCCTCACGTGGCCACCACTGTTTCACAAAACTATAAATCCTAATCCATAAAGTACCACCCTTTTGTCCTCTTGTCTCTGCTGGCACTTCTGCTGACACGTATGAAGCCATTTCGCCACTTGCCGCCATGCATGCTTCCACTTCATCCTCGCTTCGGACACCTCATATGATGATCCATTACAGGAGTTTCACTATATATAGATGTAGATGATTGGAAGACAATCAGCAAGTCAAACCGGAAAATATGGAAGTTAAAGGAAGAATTTGCTTGGTTTTGTCGTTGTTTGTAGCTGTGTGCCTTGTTTCTGCCACCGTGAGTCTAGCTCGGAGCGAAAGAGATCGAGAACTCGGTATTTGCAAGCTCAAGTGCGAGGAGCTTCGGGGGGTGGAGCAAGATGAAAAGCTAAGTTGCAAGCAAAGTTGCGAAAAGTACCATCAAGAGAAGCAGAAAAGGGAAAGAGAAGGTGGCCAGGAAAGAGAAAGAGGACACTCCGGCGCGGGTGGTGGTCAATACGACATCGTTTTTGCTAACATAGAACGTGAACTCCGTGAGATGGTGGGGAAATGCCACCAGAGTTGCCAGGTAATTAATGTGAACTATAAATACTTTCCGATCGATGGATTTGTGAACAACGATTTGCATATTCTCAAAATCCTTTAATTCCGGTATGATCACTAGGGGAGCAAAGGAGAGCAAGAGAATCCGGAATGCTTCCGGACATGCATGGAGCAATACGGCCGACCGGAGCAAGGGAAGCGTCGCGGCAGAGGTGGTGATGACACCAGCATGAGTCAAAAGAGCCGGAAAGGCGAAAGGGAGTATGGGAAAGGACAACAATTAAATAACCCTTACGTCTTTGAAGATCATCACTTCACAACAAAGATAGAAAGCGAGCAAGGGAGTGTTAGGGTTCTGCAGAAGTTCACTGATCGATCGGAACTTTTCCAAGGTATCGGGAAATACCGTGTGGCAATTCTCGAAGCCCAACCGCAGACTTTCATAATCCCAAACCATTGGGATGCAGACGCTCTTTTCTTCGTTGCAAATGGTATCAAAACTTCTTGGATCGCCATGAACCAATTAAGCTTCAAATTATATTTCAAATCTTTTAACGGGTTTTGATCAATTTCATAGGAGAGGGGACTATCAGTTTGATCAACACAGAAAATTCATTAGAAAATCACAACATAAAACGTGGCGATATTTTCCGAGTACCCGCCGGAATCAACGCGTATCTGATTAACCGACACAACAACGAAAAACTTGTGTTGGTCAAGATCCTACATTCCATCTCCGTCCCCGGTGAATTGCAGGTGAGATTCGAATTCATCTCATAATTAGTTGGGATTACTACATTCAGATCGAGGAAATTAATTGTGTTGATTACATTTATGATTTCAGACATTCGTCGGCGTAGGAGGTGACAACCCCGAATCATCGTTTTTCAATGCATTCAGCAACGAAGTTCTTCAAGCTGCATTCGATGTAAGTCTCGTTTGTTTGGAATCTACGATGAAATGATGGATATCGAGTGTTGATGTTTGCGAATTCTTGTATAGATGGATCGAGATTCGCTGGAGAAACTGTTTGGGCAGAAGAAGCAACAACAAGGGATGTTCAAGAAAGCTACGGAGGAACAAATCAGAGCGTTGAGTGGCAAAGACGAAACTCGAACATGGCCGTTTGGAGAAAGAAAGGGTCCTTACAATATCTACAAGGAGAAGCCATCGGTCCAAAACGAGCATGGAAACCTCCATGAGGTAGATTCCAAAGATTTTTCGGATCTTCGAGACATGAATGTCGCCTTTTCGTTGTTCAACATAACACAGGTGTGTGTTTCTCTAAACTCTGGCACAGTTTCTCGAACAAAATTAATAAAAATAGAGTAATAATGGTATTGATTTGGTAGGGATCAATGGCGGGGCCGTTTTACAACACAAAGACGACGACGGTGTTGGTGGTGGCCGACGGTGTCGGCCTATTTGAGATGGCATGCCCTCACTTATCCGAGCAAACTGGTAGGAACATTGAAACTTTGCCTGGTTACGAGAAAGTGAACTCTCAGATTCGACGGGGAACCGTGGTGGTGATTCCGGCTGGTCACCCTGTTGTACTTGAAGCTTCCGGCGAGCAGAATCTGGAAGTGATAGGATTCGGGCTGAACTCAGATCGAAACGAGTGGTTCCCACTTGCCGGAAGGGACAATGTGATGAGCCAATGGGAGGATGAGGCGATGGAGCTGACATTCGGCATTCCGGCGAATGAGGTTCAAAAGGTGATAGAGAAGCAGAAGAAGAAGCTATTCTTCAAGGGTCCGGTGAGACGCGGTCGTGCTTTTGCCTAAACTTATGTGGTTGTTGAGTTTTGACGTTGTAATCGATGGTAATTAATGTGCTAACAATGTTTATATAAATAAAACGGCCTTTCCTTTCGTGTGTTGTATCAACTATCAAAGTTGGCAACACATTTTTCTTAGCTCATTTCCAACTTGTTTCCTTTTTGTTCGACTCATTTTCTATTAGTTAATTCTTTAATCGGTTAAGGTAAATATATAATCCATATTCGTAAAAAGTAAAAACTTGTCTATCAAAAAGTTTTGATAGTGTATATATTAAAATTAAAATTAAGGAAAGAAATGATCCCCAATAAGATATGAAATGACAATAGTAAACACAAACATTGCCAGTATCAACATATGACCTCCAAATATATGTCTCATGATATGTGGTAGATTTAATCCATAGAAAACAGTATATAGAAATTACTTAACATGTGGCATCGTATGAAAATAACAGTTGTAAGTGTGAATTAAGGCTATCCAAACAAGCCTTCTTTATTCAATAAAGCCTGCAATTCGATCCGGGACCTTTGAGAATCTCTTTGTTTTTCTGGTTCTAATTATTAACATAGTATATATTGAGACATGGTGGGATAGATTCAGGTTAAAATAACAGGCATGATACGCCTTTTTTTTTTTTTTTTACAAATTACAATTTATATAGTATCTAATGAGTTATCAATGATACAATAATACCGTTTATGTTGGTGAAGATAATTCTCATTGTTTTCCATCATGCGATCATACAACACATGGATACATATATCTCATCGGCCAGACTATACAAAGGGCCGAGATCTATATGGGCTGCCAAGCTAACTTGTCTATGAGGCCATAAATATAAATACGTATACTAATACATAGTGATTACATACTAACAGTTTCATCGTTTTTAATACAGTGTTTTATCTTTTGGTGTATAAAAATCAAACAAAAGAAAGAAAGAATCATGCTAAGTCATATGACCAAGCCAATCAGCAGTCTGATGCCTCTACGTAAGAATGATCTCTTTCTGCATGCAAAACCACGAAGAAAACAATCATCAACAGTTTTTATTTTATAGTATTCATTGGTTTGATTCAACATTACACAAAAGACGCGGCCCACAAAATTAAATGATAAAATCTAACATACGTACCCGAATCGCCAGCAGTTTCGTGTAGTTGCCTAAGAATTTGCAAAATGGAAAGCAAAATCCACAAATTCTGTATGATCAAGATTCAAGAAACTAATCAGACCTTCAAATCAAGTTTTTTAGATAGTAAGATCATGGAACACGAAACCACAAAAGAAAAGTTAAAAGAATAGACCTTTTTGGGGGATGTTGGCGAATCGATTACTGTTGTCCCCATGGATGTGTCAATAGTGATCAGTAGAGACTTAGATCTCCATATCTACGTGAATAGGGTAACAGTTCTTCAACTTGGATCCTAGCTGAATAACTACTAATGTTTTTCTTGAACCGGTTTCGGGTATTAATAGACTCAACTTCTGCTAAAAAAATGCTGTAGACGGGTCTATGATCCGAAAATCTAGATTCCCCTCGAACGTATGACATTTGATGGAGTCCGTTTCCATACCACAAGATACGATCACACCTAATTTATAAAAATTTACAGTATCAAGATTTTGAAAACACAATGATCGATCCTAAGATAATGGTAAAGAATTTTTAGTAGATTATATGCATGGTTTAATTACCATGCAGGAGTTCTTCGTTTTTCTCTGGGATGCATATCATATCCCGCATAATTATCAGAATTATTTGAATATTTATAAGTCGGAGGGAAATATATCCTCCCTTCCTTCCATCCCTCGAATACGCGTCCCCTTCTGTGCTCTATTCGGAGCTGTAACCATGAAAAAATCAAAAACGCATAAATAATCATTCGCTTAAAAGTTTCAAACTTTTTCAACATATAACTTTATATTTCCAGACTTGCCTGGTCATTTTCCAACAATGCCCTCCAGTTTCGCATCTCGACCAAGGTCTTGGCAGACCGGTAAGACAGGGCAATTCGGTAATTTAGGTCACCAAGCCATATGATTCGACTAGAGTCATGAAAGGAAGGTTATGATATTAAGAATACTTATGAACATTGGGTCCTTTTATTACATATGACATAACATCATAGAACCAAAATTGATGTCACTTTGGGACAAAGTTGCAATTCTTTTGTCTCATAAATATAGATGAGATAAAGATCCTACAAAAGACACGAATAGCCTCCTCATCGAGTCCATCAATGTCTCATGTAACAAACACAATCTAGGTGGTGAAATTATAACAACTTTTGGTCTTACTCATGGTCGAGAATCGTTTGAGGAGAATTCTTGTCTCCTGTATCTTGAACACATGGAAACCGAGTTTTTCGCAAAATTTCCATAACATCCGAGTTTCTTCTAAGCTCGTCGCCTTCCTTTTGTCCAGATGTCAAGTGACTACATATGAAGCAAAAGCTCGTTTGGTGCAACGACATGCTAATCGATATAGAACCCTGAAACAATTCAGTTCAAGAATAAAACAATCAAAATCTTCCAAGTTTTAACTTTTAAACGCCAAAAAGTTGGAAAAAAAACCGAAATTTAATTACCTTGTTTCCAAGATAACCCATCAATCCTCTACCCACACACGACACTTTCATATTATGAACATCGTCTCTAAGATCGCTCTTTACCCATACAGTAAGATAAATCCCGACCATTTGCTTACTCGCAACCAGTGAGTATTTAGACTGCTCCAGCGGTTTATCTTTCTCCTCCATCGAGAAAGAACTGCTGTATGGTAATTGGGTGTAATTTGGGCCATCGGGTGAATCGTCAGGCCCGTTATCTTCATCGGATGACCCGGACCCGAGACCCAGGTCAAAATCGTTGCATCGGTTCCCGAAAATGGCTCGATCAGAGACGCTGTATCTATTGTCGAGTCCGGGATGTGGGATTTCCCTCATGCTACGACTCTGTGATTGAAAAGAACGCCGGTGGAGGAAAGACGAGGGCTTTTGTGTGACGGATCCTTCGAAATCTGAATCTAATTCTATGACTGGATCAGGAACTGGTGAAGGGAAATGGTATCCATCGGTCGTTCCCGGAAGACTATTTAACGTTTTTCGGATTAGGGATTGCCATTTTTTAGCCGGACCATTGTCTTCTGCTCCGAGTACATTTCCAGCGTTTAAAGGAACGATTTCTTGAAACCTGATTCACCAAAGGGATCGTGTTAGTTTTATCACCATCAAAATCTGGATTTTGAATCGTTTATAAACTAAAAGTTACCCAAGAACGTAAATATCAGCAGGAGGCGAAGTGTGTAACCAATCTTCAAGATTCAAAGAACTCGTTGGAGGTTTTCCGGCGACGTTCCACGTGGCGACAAAGACCCTGTAGTTATTAACATCCGTCACTTGGGCACGATCAAGATCGAGCTTGTTTGCTCCAAGACAATCAGCAGTCCTCTTGCTTGATCTTTCTGTCCAATGCATATGAGAGGAAAAAAAAATCTACTTAAATCCTGTAATCTTAGGTACTGAAGTTCACAATTCTATGCAGAATTTCGAAAATTTAAACTTTTGGCAGCGACAACGGATGGAAAAAAATTCCGAAAGATAAAAGTTTTCCTCTGAAACGTGGTTTTTCACTTTCGTGTGTTTTCGACCTTCGTCAATTTACTTGATGAACATCCTTTATGAGTTATGATCGTGTAACATTAAAGGATTTGAACTTGTTCAGTGGTCCAAAAGCAATAAATATATAAATAGCCTGAAACTGCACCTGTTCTGCTTTTCTTGATGGTGCATATTTCTTTTGCAGAAAATTTGTTCCTCCACCCTTCATTTCTACCTGAAAAGGAAACCCATTTAAAAAAAGCTATTAAAGTCATGGTAATTGCCACTGTTAAGATTTAAGAAAGGATTCAAATTAAGAGCTCAAATGGCAGATCTTGAGAAACAAACAAGAAAACAAAGAACAGATTCTCAGCAGCAAACAGGAAAAGTTCCCAATGTCATTGAGATTCCAATTCCCAAATGCTACTTTTACAGGAAAAACGTACAATGATTTGATGCAGAAATAAAGGAAATAGCAAGTGAGAAAACTACCTCCATGATTGAAATCATCCGCATCAAAGTCTTGAGCTTTGTTTTTGACATTGAACCATTTCTTGAGTGTTTTAGGCCATGAAACCTTCAAAGTCAAGAATATAATGTCAACTTCATCTAATTGAGAACATTCAATGACATAAATACAATGTTGAAAGGAAGAAAAAAAACCTTGTTCTTCTTGAAGATTTCGTCCCTCATTGTTCCCAAAACTCATAAATATAGAAAAAAAAAACCCACTAATTTAGTTACAAAAGAAACAATGGGTATGCTTGATTCAAAGGAAAAGGTTCCCAAAAATCGATCTTTCTCCTTTGAGGCTTTGACCAAGGGGCGTAATATATTCCAAATGAATAAGAAAAATGAAAAAGAAGAAAAGGTAGGATGTTTATGAATGCCCAGAAATAGAAGAATGAAGCAGAGTCTTGTGTTGAATCTCAAGTTATAAATAGGGGAAGAAAGTAGCAGTTTCTACGCATTATGGTTTCGTAAAATGCTAACAAAGAGTCAAATCAACGAGAAATCCCAGTTGGGGTTTCTTGAATGTTGCAGCTTATATTATACATCTTTCTTTCTTTCACCAATAGTTGTCTTTGCAGGAATAGAGGGGAAACGATGGAAATGGGAAAAGAAACTAAAGGCAACAGTTCAAGTGAATGTCATATAGAAATACATCATTGATTATACCAAATAAAAAACAAATATATATATA